CTGTTAATAAACTGATGTATTATTGATTGATTTGTTACAAGATTGTTGTGTATATATTTTGTACAAGAATTCCTATTATATAGGAGATGATTCTGGAGTAGGTGAGGAGTGAGTGGTGGAGGTAGGTTTGGTGGAGTGTAGTAGGTGATAGGAGAAGGCAAGGGCATTTTCGAGCAGAGCAACCGAGCATGTGTGGACGCGCCCTCGGGCCTTATGTTTTCCACAGTTCGGACTCATTTGTCACGGTTCTTAATCTGATCTCGCAATGTGCAATGCAAGACTGATAAATCACCAAAGAGTCCAAATCCGGCAAATCATTTTGAAAAACAAATTTTTTAGAAAGAAGTGCCAAACATGGACTGTTTTGCCAGATACAGAGTCGCCACCTAAATATTTATTTTGGGAGAATTTAGGAAACCCTGACTCGTTGCCTAAGGCCACGTGTCCGTCATCACCAAAGTTGCCTCGGCTCAGGAACTTGGGTACGATTGGGGAAGGTCAACTATGAGCACCCCCGCTCGCCTGATCCGAAGATCGGCCTCTACTAACCATGATATCGAGTTTTGAAAACATTATGCGTTCTTATTCCAGTTATTAGCTAGAATTACTATGTGATGCGCACAACACACAAGTATAGACTAGATCGCCTAATTTGGAACAAAGCATCGCATATCTATTTGTTTGGAAATGGTTTGAAGTTTGCTACTCGCAAGTAGGTTAAGCCACGAATTTCAATGAATTGTTCCAATTCAAGCAACCCAACCTTCACCCACAAGCATTCGGGCAGATGTATCACATAAGCAATTAGCCTCATGGCAAGCATGCTATCATGTTAACACTCACATACATGCAAGATGCTAAAGCATAAAACACTCATTGTGTACTCCAAGCCAAAACGAAGGACATGTTAGTAATCAAATGTATGATCCAAGTCCATGTTAATATGTCTAATGCATCGCAGGCAAAATGCAACTAGAATAGGCTCGGCTAATCTAAGATGACATATGAAATGCAACAGATAACATGTATTCAACTTGGAATTGAAATACAATGCATTTAGTATGATGCGCCGAGCCCGGTGCATGCAATACAGATGGATGATGCAAACATGCATAACATAAGAATGCTAATTGAAACGTGCCCTAAAACTAACCATTGAAAGCAGGTAAGTAAAAGAGAGAAAGACGTGGGGTTGGAAGACATGCATCACACACACGCACGCTTATTACAAAATTTGCCCTCTCTTGGAGGGGCCAACAGAATAATACAAATTAACTAACAAGCTAATTACATATTACACAATACTTAATTAATTAAACAAATTAACTAAGCTATTAAAGCAGTAAAGCAGCCTCAAGAAGAAGGAGGAACGCATGCATGCTCGGCTTTGCTTGGAAATCCATCGCCATGTCATGTTGCCTCTGTTTACACTGCTCTGTACCTCTGAGAACTTTGCAAGTTTCAAGGATACTTCTAAAATACCCTCTGAGGGTTGTGGGAGGTCACCGACCAAGAGGAAACACCACCAGCTATGAGAAACTGGTCATCAACCAAAAATGATGCTCTCGGCCATCTATGGTTAGCCGATCGGCACTGAAAGAAGCCGACCAGCCATTTCTTCTTGCAGAATCCTGTTTTGCTACAGCAAAGGACAGACAGAACATGGCGGTGCATTTTCAAAGCAATGTATGCATCACCACCCTCCTTATCATGTTTGAAACTCAAAGGAGTATGGTTCTCGACCCTCGAGCCACCAACCACGCATTTCAATGCATGATGGCCCAAGATGCCAAGTGTGCAACTCAATATGAAATGAAATGCACAAAATACACAATGACCCTAACCTCTATCATGATTGATCAAGAGACAAGGGATGCACACACAATGCAATGCAACCTAAGCAAGCAAGCATGCAAATGACTCAAGTGTGCAATAAAGCTAATGCAACATGAGCATGCAAGCAACAATACTATACAAGGCAACTAGCATATAACAATATGCAAAGACAAGTATGCTTAGACCAATGTAATACATGCATGATAAGCTTAACAAAGCAACACAAGCATGCAATAGGCGATAGGCAATAGTCATACAACCTAAACATGTGAACATGTATAGCATGCAACAACATGCAAAATGAAACAAGCATGCAACAACATGGTGGGATGGACTTACACTAACATGGGTAGCTCTCAAGCATGCCAAAATCAGTGGCCTAGGTGATAGGAGTGAGTGGTGGAGGTAGGTTTGGTGGAGTGTAGTAGGTGATAGGAGTGAGTGGTGGAGGTAGGTTTGGTGGAGTGTAGTAGGTGATAGGAGTGAGTGGTGGAGGTAGGTTTGGTGGAGTGTAGTAGGTGATAGGAGTGAGTGGTGGAGGTAGGTTTGGTGGAGTGTAGTAGGTGATAGGAGTGAGTGGTGGAGGTAGGTTTGGTGGAGTGTAGTAGGTGATAGGAGTGAGTGGTGGAGGTAGGTTTGGTGGAGTGTAGTAGGTGATAGGAGTGAGTGGTGGAGGTAGGTTTGGTGGAGTGTAGTAGGTGATAGGAGTGAGTGGTGGAGGTAGGTTTGGTGGAGTGTAGTAGGTGATAGGAGTGAGTGGTGGAGGTAGGTTTGGTGGAGTGTAGTAGGTGATAGGAGTGAGTGGTGGAGGTAGGTTTGGTGGAGTGTAGTAGGTGATAGGAGTGAGTGGTGGAGGTAGGTTTGGTGGAGTGTAGTAGGTGATAGGAGTGAGTGGTGGAGGTAGGTTTGGTGGAGTGTAGTAGGTGATAGGAGTGAGTGGTGGAGGTAGGTTTGGTGGAGTGTAGTAGGTGATAGGAGTGAGTGGTGGAGGTAGGTTTGGTGGAGTGTAGTAGGTGATAGGAGTGAGTGGTGGAGGTAGGTTTGGTGGAGTGTAGTAGGTGATAGGAGTGAGTGGTGGAGGTAGGTTTGGTGGAGTGTAGTAGGTGATAGGAGTGAGTGGTGGAGGTAGGTTTGGTGGAGTGTAGTAGGTGATAGGAGTGAGTGGTGGAGGTAGGTTTGGTGGAGTGTAGTAGGTGATAGGAGTGAGTGGTGGAGGTAGGTTTGGTGGAGTGTAGTAGGTGATAGGAGTGAGTGGTGGAGGTAGGTTTGGTGGAGTGTAGTAGGTGATAGGAGTGAGTGGTGGAGGTAGGTTTGGTGGAGTGTAGTAGGTGATAGGAGTGAGTGGTGGAGGTAGGTTTGGTGGAGTGTAGTAGGTGATAGGAGTGAGTGGTGGAGGTAGGTTTGGTGGAGTGTAGTAGGTGATAGGAGTGAGTGGTGGAGGTAGGTTTGGTGGAGTGTAGTAGGTGATAGGAGTGAGTGGTGGAGGTAGGTTTGGTGGAGTGTAGTAGGTGATAGGAGTGAGTGGTGGAGGTAGGTTTGGTGGAGTGTAGTAGGTGATAGGAGTGAGTGGTGGAGGTAGGTTTGGTGGAGTGTAGTAGGTGATAGGAGTGAGTGGTGGAGGTAGGTTTGGTGGAGTGTAGTAGGTGATAGGAGTGAGTGGTGGAGGTAGGTTTGGTGGAGTGTAGTAGGTGATAGGAGTGAGTGGTGGAGGTAGGTTTGGTGGAGTGTAGTAGGTGATAGGAGTGAGTGGTGGAGGTAGGTTTGGTGGAGTGTAGTAGGTGATAGGAGTGAGTGGTGGAGGTAGGTTTGGTGGAGTGTAGTAGGTGATAGGAGTAGTAGGTGGAGGTAGGTTTGGTGGTAGGTGTAGTAGTAATTTACATTTACATTAACACCAACCTTCTTTAAAATCCAACTTCAAGAGTGAGAACGAAGCCCTTATGGCGATCAGAGATGGGTGGTGTGCCTAGAATCAGCCGAAGGAGAAAATTACGGAGTTTGGGAATGGGTGGTGAGGTAGTGAAATGGGAGAGAGGGCTTGCAGCTGCCAGAGTCAGGAAGGACGTAGGTGAGCAGCGGTGGGAGAGAGGTTAAGAGGGAGGAAAAGTAGATCTAAGAGGAAGGAAAAAACTAAAGAGAGGAGGTTTGGTGCCAAAGGTGAGAGAGATTGGGAGTGGGATAGTGAGAGAAGGAGCAATGGGAGGGAATTTGTTTGGGTGAAGCAAATCCGAACCGTTGAATCTTCGGCCATATTTCTCAGCCATTGACAGTAAATGACACGTAGGACAAATTTGCCACATTAGAAAAAATTCAAAAACCCCCTTACCTTATTATATAGGTATATATTTTCCTGGTAGAAGTGGCTGCATCTTAATTTTATTGTAAATTCCTTATTCTTGCCTTATATAGACTACCTTACCATAAATATATATATATTAAACCAAGTTGGAGCATATATGGGCACCAACCAATCATTTCCTACCACCATCTATAAATTGCCTAAAAATATTACACATTAAATCTGATAAACTTACACTGTCATGAAGGATTTAGATGCTCTCTGTACATGATTACAATGGAGATTCTCATTAAAATGCATATGATTACAACATATCATTAAAATTTAATATCAATGGTCTATAGTTTTATGTTATTTTGAATCCTAAATTTTCTTTGGGAAGCACAATTTTCACTTGTGTTATATGAATTTATAATTACTTTTCCTATTTGCCATTTATATATGGAATTCTCTTTATATATGGTGAATTATCTGAATAATTGATTTTTAGAAATACGAAAACTGATGTCACAACATGACATTGAATTCATATGGATGGACAAAAATTTCATAACCGAGTCCCACTAACAAATTCTGTAAATTTTATTTGTTTATATGTATTTTGATAAGTCTAGAAATACAAAAATAAAAACATAATACAAAATGATATGAACAGACAAGAATAATGAAAAGTGAGCGTGTTACTAACAAATTTTTACATAAGAAAGTACAAGAAATTTAAAAGAAGTAATCACCTATATGCAGGTGTAACAATTCATCAATGAAGTTTTTGCCATCATGGACAAGCACAAAACAATCAAATCACCTCCCACCATGCAATAGCATATCTTCCGCCATGCTATCAACCCTAGCCGTCGTTGTGTTGCTTCTAACCTCTAACTACATATCCAGTTGATGCCTTACCAAGCAAGTACTTAATCTTTGCAGGATTCAAATCATTTCTAGATGTCTTTTTCCTAATCAACCCCTGCAGTTCCATCGCTACTTCCTTCATAGAAGGCCTTTTCTCCCCTTTTACTCTCAAGCATCTCTTTGCAAGATTTGCTACTTCTTTGAGCTCCTCAGTGTTTCCTTCAATTACCATGTGTTCATCAATAATTTGGTTCAAGCAATCATTGTTCATACAAGAAATAAAATACATAGCCAGGCATCTATCCTCTTCTGGCCTGTCAAATGGCGATGCCTTCTTTCCTGTGATTAATTCTACAAGGACTACTCCAAAGCTATAAACATCACTTTTCTCAGTGAACTGACTTGTGAGCATGTATTCAGGGTCTAAGTATCCAAGAGTTCCTTGTACCACTGTGGCTAATTGATTTTGGTCTAGTGGAATAAACCTTGATGCTCCAAAATCTGACACTTTTGCAATGTAATTATCGTCTAAGAGTATATTTGTAGCCTTAACATCTCTATGGATGATAGGAATCGATGCTGCAGAGTGCAAATATGACAATACTCCAGCAGTTTCAGCAGCTATTTGCAAACGATTTTCCAATGATATATTAGATGCCTTACTTTGGTTATTTATATACTCAAAGAGAGTGCCATTGGTAATGAATTCATAAACAAGTAAAGGGACTTGAGTTTCGAAACAATAACCTAAGAGTTTGACCACATTCCTATGATTGATCTGTGAAAGCACGACCACCTCGTTGATGAATTGCTCTATTTGATTTTCACCCACCATTTGGGATTTCTTAATAGCCACTATCTTGTTCTCTGGTAGAATTCCCTTGTAAACTGTTCCAAAACCTCCTTGGCCAACAATTCTACTCTCATCGTAGTTATTGGTAGCTCGTTTGAGCTCTTCTGAATTAAACATTTTGATCAATTCCTGAGTTGATCTCTCTAATCTAGAGAGTTGTTGTTTCAACATTAATCCACCATTCTGCGAGAAGAACTTTTCTTTAAGTATGATGAGCTTTCTTTTCTTGAAAATCCAGTACGACCAGGAGCTACTCACCAAAACAACCAAAGCACCAATGGCAAAACCTGCATTTCAAATAAGTCATAAGTAACAACTAATATAAACATCTTGCCAACATATTGATTCAAAATTAAGCATATAAAGAATTTTATACTCGAGCAAAGCAACAATTAGTTATAGAAACATCTCAATTGTATGATGAATTGGAATGCATCTATATGTTAAAGATCAAAGTTTTAGCTCAATAGGACATTCAATTTGATAATTTTATCTTGAGAACTGACTTGTGAATCAGTGTAGAAATACATATCAACTTGAATGAACCTTTTTTTTTTTTTTTCCTCACTTTTCTTGCGCTAACTTCCAAGCCCCATTATTTATTTATTATTATTATTGTTTTGGTGTGTTTCTGGTATTGATAATCAAGAAATTGCACCCATGACAGCAGGAGAATAAAGTATGGGTGCTACACTGTTCACAAAATATGCATATGTAATACAAACTGACAATGACATTATTTGTTTAAACATTAAAGCTACACATAATCCAAATATTTCATAAATTTCCAACTATAAAAGTGTACACTAGAAATCGTTACTTTCTATCAACCATATATTTAGATTTTGAATCTGTGAAGAAGAAGAAAAAAAAAAAAAAAAAAAAAAAAAGTGATAGAAAATTAATGAAGTACAACAAATTTTTTATTTTTTCTCCACTAATTCTTTCGGAAATATAAGATTTAGACCATCTAAATCAATCGATCAAGAATATTGTATTAACTAAATTAAGAGATTTTGCACAAAGATGCGACTTTTTCATAGCTTTTATTCAAGGAAAATGATATACAAGCTCACTTTTCGAAACCTAATAATATGTAGAGAGAGAGAGAGAGAGAGAGTTGCTTTAGATATTCTAATATACTGTCACACTATTGTCTTTGAAAAATAGATCTAATTTTTAGAGTAAAGTAACACTACTCTTTATTCAATACACAGGTACAATTCATTATGAAAATAAAAATAAAATTATGAGGTATCAATTCACAATTATTAGTACAGAAAATGTTATACAAACAAACAAATTTTATAATTTTATTTATTAATGATGTCACATGTAATAATGAAACTTATAAATAACATGACTCATTTAAATAATATGAAAAAGTTTGTATGACTTATTAGTTTGTATGACATTACTCAATTAGTAATTCTAAATATTCTTCTTCAAAGAATATAGAAAATTACTACATATAATCATATTTCTTACATCATTTCTTCACTTCAACAAGTGAATAGGCCTTATATGCATTTATTAATGTGGACCCATTACCATGTCTTGGAATAAAAAAAGAGAAAAGTTAGGGATCATGAAAATGATCATGAAAGAGTTATGATCCTTAGATTACCTTGATTAGTGTGTGGTGCTTTATTCTATGTGTAATCCAAGGGTCACAAAGCTTTCATGATTATTTTCATGAAAGGTTTTTCATGGTACCTAGCATTGCTGATAAAAAAATGATATAAGAAATGACATTATATATAACGCAACTCAAGAATAAAATGTATTGTATTTATATATTTACTTAAATTTTCCATAAGGAAAACATAAATGCCATTATATATTTACTTAAATTTGCCATAAGGAAAACATAAATGCCATCACCACTCAAGTTACAGATGTGCTATGTGCACAAAAAGTTTCAAACACATAATGCACAAATGTGTGACATTCTATGCATTCTGTGTTTGAAACCTTCTCTTCACCTAAACTTTTTCCTCAAGTAAAGTTGGAAAATTTGTGAAGAGGATATTTTGGCACAGACTTATATACACTTACCAACCGCAATCTGAATTGCTAGAAATTGATTAGCAGTGCAACCTGTTCCATCTGTTCTGTCATCACCGCAGTATCCTTTGGGGCTAGAACAAGTATAATTCCCAGGTGGCATGTCAACACATTTATTTTTATGTTCACACATGTTGAGCTTTGGATCTTCACACTCCTTTATGTCTGCAAAACAATTATAAAAATAAAAAAATAAAAAATAAAAATAAATAAAAAAACAGAGAAGAAGACTGTATGAAAATTAAGCATCACATCATAAGCAATATATAATAACAAAAGCAAATGAATCCAATATGATGAAACTAATTGAATACAAACCTTGTCAACCATCTGAGAGGTACGGGTTCCCTTTGTAACCAATCCTGCACTTGCAGAAATATCCACGTCCATTTTTTGATTCATAACAATCACTATTTTCTCCACATTCATAACTTTCCAGATTTCTTTTAGAGTCTCTGCACGTCTTGTTATTCCCTACTGCCCAATGAAGCACTATCGGCATCATTTCTTCTGTAAAATTTCTCAGGTAGCTTTTGGAGAAATTAAAAGCACCTTCTTCAACAACAAAAGCATAGCTGCAAGGATTGAATTTTGATACGTTTTCATGATTAATGTAGCTCTGCAGAAGAATGTTTATATAGCCGACTCCTTTAGGGATGGAGGTCTGGCAGCAGCCAATTCCAGAGCAAGGTCCATCGGGAATGTAATTGATCGTGCGATATTGGGACTCACACCCAGTTGCAACGAAATAATTCTCTCCAGATACTTGGATAGTAGCACGGGTGTCGCAACCAATAGCAGTGAACTTGTTTTTGGTATTAGATATGCAGAATGCAATTAACCCAAGCTCTGGTGGCTGATAACAATTTGACACAGACCCGCCATAACAAGCACAAGTTACAGGATTCATAATGCCTAACTCTCCCTCCTTAAGCAAAATATTTGTAATAGGGATGTCACTTTTCTGCAAATATGGTTTGGAGTCTGCAATTAATCAAAAAATGTTCATTAATATAACATTTCTCTTTCACACCAAATGGGTATGAAATTTTTACATTCCCGCAACAGTTCAAGCAGCCAAGATTTTTCAAATCTTGCTCTGTTGGTGGTGCTGCAATTGTTGCTGCTGATAATGACAATACCACCACCACTATTACTAGCATGGTGATGATGGGTTGTAGCTGCAATTGCATTCCTTGTGAGGAAGCCATGGCTGGCTTGCTTCTTTCTAGCTTCTTGGCAAATGCTTCTCTCTATTCAATTCTACTTTCATAAAAACCAAAAATATAAGAACCACATAAGCTTTTGTTACCAAATTTTCGAAGTAAATGAAAACAAAAATTGAAAATATGAAACAAAAATGTACACAAAACGACTCTAATAAGCCAAAACATATATCCATAGCAGAAAATCCAGTAAATTGAAAAAGTGTCTAAAACATGCCTAAATAAAACTATATGTTAAGCCTGCATCCTAAACTACTCTTAACCAAAGCATACAACTTCCATTTAAAAGGCAATCATATGCGCTCATGACAGAACAATGTTTCCAGCAAGCCAAAGATGATAGTAGAGAGCATGCAGCCAAAACCAATAAAAGTCGAAGATGTCATGCAATGCAATGCAAACACTAGAATTAGGTAGATGGAATAGTATAGATGTCTGCCTCAAAAAAACCTTTAAAATATTTTTCTTGGCTATTGGTTTTTGAACTGTTATGTTTGGATTTGCTTCGGTTTGCCTTCTTGATCAGCACTCTCTTGAAGGATGTATAGAGGTTTTTAAAGCGGTGAACGACTAATATGGTAGAGAAGGTTTTAATATGGTGTTCTGATGGTGTATAAATGGAAGGTTTCAAGACTATCTTCGCTGCCCTCTCTTGTTTAATTTCCTAATCCTTTACTTTTGACTCCTCTTTATAGGCTTAGAATGCTTGTGAATCCAGAGGTTTTGTGAATACACATTTAAGAATCTCTTACTTTTCTTACTTAGGAAATGACTTAAAATTTTAGTAAGTCACTTTCTGCAATACCTTACAACAATTAATAATGAGTCTTTTAGATTCAAGAAATTACAAAAGATGACAAAAAAGAAGATATAGAAATTAGAGACGTCAGTTCACCGAATAAAAATACAACATCTGCACCCATGGAGGATATTATTTTCTCCGGTGTCTGTAGCTGGTTTGCAAAAGATAGAAAAGACCACAGCCTAGCAGACATCTGACTTCTTCCCATTTCTAGAGCAAAACTTCTGTTTTTCCTTGACGAACTTGATATCAAATTTTGACAACAGTAGCAACCATCTAGCCATTCTTCGTACCAAAGTTGATTTTTGAAAGAGACATTTGGGAGAATCCATTAAAGAAATCTACTTAATAGGATAATCTAGCATGTAGTGTTGCAATCTCTTTGGTAGCCCATATTAAAGCCCAACATGTCTTTTTCTAGATGCATGTTCTTCTACTTCCAACCCTCTATCATTTTCTTGTGCCATCACGCATCCCATTGTAGACTCAGTTACTAACAAGTACAAAATCAATGGGGCTCCAAGAAGCTTCTGACTTCTTTTTTAGTTTAAGGTGGTGCCATTTTGAGGATAGCCTTTATCTTACTGGGGTCAACTTCAGTGCTGTGTTGAGTGTTAAAAAGACCTAACAACTTTTCTGCTGTAACTGCAAATGTTCATTTCCGTGGATTCAGTTCAAGTCTATACTATCTAATTGGTCGAAGAACTTTTGAAACACCTATACATGTTCAAATTTCTATTTGGACTTGACAATCATATCATTGACATACACCTCTACCTGTGGATCACAACATGTAACAATGTTGTGACTGCTTTTTGATGTGTGACTCTAGCATTCTTTAATCCAAATGGCGTAACCTTGCAGCAAAAAGTTTCCTATTGAGTTGTGAAAGTGGTCTTCTCATTGCATTTTGGTGTCACTAAGTTCTAGTTGTGCTTGGGAAATCCTTCCATAAACGACAATAATGCCTAATCAGCAGTACTAGGAGATGATAAGAAATTTTGTAAAAGTTAGAATAGATTGTGATCGAGGTTAGTGTTTGAGCAATATGTCATATGTTGGACAAAATCTTATGTGTACTATGTGTAAAAAAGATAAAAATCTGAACCAAATTTTGAAACAAATATAAAAATTAAAACCAAAGATAAATTTACTGAAACCAGAAAATAACTTAGGAAAACTTACTGACAAACAGTGTATAATTCTGGAAACAAAAATAGAAAATAATTTGAATGAGACTTGTGTTAGACACAATTTCCTTAAGACAAATTCATCCCCAGCTACGGTGCTCACGAGTTTTATCGGATGTTCATCTCCCAGGATATAATGATCAAATCTTGTAGAAGCAGCATTACAATCTACAAGTTTGACGAACCTTATTGTGCGTAACTCTCTTTTCCAGAAGAATGATAGAGTGCGAAAAAAAGATATAATACAAGATGAATTCGATGATCAAATGAATGTGAAGGGGACCTGCTTATATAGGCAAATTGGTGACTTT